CCCCAAAACCCCAAAACCCCTTAAGAACATAATTAAGCAAGCATTTACTCTAAGTAATTAAATTATCTATAAAAAATGAAATGGCTTTAATTAAAACTTCAAATGCTGCCAAGCATTGCCAATGAAATTGAAAGAGCTGCTGCAGAATATTAGAGTAATCAAATTATCATATTTAAAGCACGATTTTTATTCTAAGAAAAATAGATTTGATAAATGATATAGTTGATGATCCTACAGATTCCCAAAAAATCATAACTGAAGCAAGATTCAGAGCAAATGTAAATAAAATAATCCTCTCTATATTAAAGTGTTTTTTAGATTAAATCTAGAATGGAGGAACTCTAGCAATTTTATGATGACAATATCGATGATTAAAAGGTATTTTTCTTTGAGAAATTAAGACTTAAACTTAAAAAGGCATTACATTCTAAAACTAATAGGATACATGGTGCTGGCATAGGAAGACCTAACTAAATATCATCTCAATAATAGTAGCAGTTAAGTAGTTAAGGAATAAGATCAGGAGATAACATTATAAGCTCAAATCAAATTTTGAGTTCTTAATAGAGACTCTTTCATAATCAGATATATGAAAATGATGATGATGATTTGGATCACAGCTAAAACCATCTGATAACTAATAACAATAACTATTATGATGATGAGAACCAGAATTAAATTATAAGGGATGAATATGGAGATGAAAATCCTTATGATGATCAAAATGATGATGGCGGAAATTTCAACGGAGCTGGTAGAGGTCTTAATGGTTATGGAGATGATAAACATTTCGAAAAGATTTAGGAAGAGGAGGAAGAAGATGGTAGTGCAAATTAATCAATGGAATAGCAATTTAATGACTAAAATCTACAGAATAGTATCTAATTGCTGCAAAGAAATTAACTAAACGGAATTAACTAAAATTTTGAATAGAGATAAGGTAGCAATAATAATGTTGCAAACGGATAAAATAATCAAAATTAACCTTCATAATGGCAAGAACTCATTTTTAGAATTAAGCTTACTTAATAAGAATATGATATGTTTCTTAGAGAGAAAGCTAAAAGATTAGCAGTTAAATGATCAAATACTTACTTCTAATTTTATGTTTAATTTCATCATTTTTCATCATAAAATTAAACACGGGGTTTTGGGGTTTTGGGGTTTTGGGG